CTCTCTCTCTCTCTCTCTCTCTCTCTCTCTCTCTCTCTCTCTCTCTCTCTCTCTCTCTCTCGTGCGCGCGCGCGCGCGCGCTCGCTCGCGGTTGGTTTATCAAAATTACAACGTACGGTCATGATGGCCGTGTCTACAATGACAGTTGCCCAAAATGCAACTATAATGATGGTCATTGTCGACACGGCCATCATGACCGTAGGTTTCGGAACTCTGATAAACCAACTGCGAGCAAGAGAGAGAGAGAGAGAGAGAGAGAGAGAGAGAGAGAGAGAGAGAGAGAGAGAGTAGGTTTCGGAACTCTGATAAACCAACTGCGAGAGAGAGAGAGAGAGAGAGAGAGAGAGAGAGAGAGAGAGAGAGAGAGAGAGATCATCATGTGATCATCGACCGAAAACATCAAGCCGCCTGAGGACAGGTTGCAATCCAGCAGCTTCTCGGCGCGGCGCATCGACAACAACGTAGCGGGCGCAGTTTGAAATCGAATTCGAATTTGCGGCGCCTCATGGCTGCGGGGCATTGCAGAAAGATGGCTGCCCCTCATGAGGGCATAAGGCACAGGGCCCGATGGAAAAGTTGTGGTCACTACCGACAAGGGCCTGCCGAAAATATTTTTTGGCCCAGGCGTGCGACGGGGTAAATCGCCCTTTGGAGGGGCGCGATGCAAAATAACGCAAATTACAGGGGCTCAAGACACTTTTTCCCAAAAAAGGAAAAAAAGAAAGGACAGCCTGTGATCTGGTCTGTTCGCGTGAATGGAAGGGGAAGATTGCTGGCCCATGAGATTTCTCCGTCATCGCCCTGCGATGCAGGCCGTCCGTTCACGCGAATGGCCTAGATATGGCCGTGCCAATGGTACCTTTTGGCGGGTACCACCCTTCGCGACCTACCTGGTCTACGGGACCTGCCTTCAGTACCGTACCTGGTACCTGCGCTACGGGGCCTGCAGGTACCGAACCTATCTGCCCTAAGCCTACCTAAGCGACCTACCTGAAATAAAAAAGGCCTTTCAGATTTGACAGGTAATTGAATTGGTTGGGCAGTACCGGGCAGTACCGGGCAGTAAATAGAAAAAAATACCAGATCGACCACCACTAAGGGACCTACCCTACCCAGCCTACCTGCAGTACCGGGCAGTACCGGGTAGTACCAGGCAGTACCAGGCAGTACCGGGCAGTACCAGGCAGTACCGGGCCTCCATGCCCAGCGCGACGTACTCAAGCGGCCTACCTGCCCAGGCGACCTATGTAGGCGGCCTACCTGCGGTACACGGCCCACGCGTCCAACTTGCGCGACCTACCCACTGCTCTCTCTCTCTCTCTCTCTCTCTCTCTCTCTCTCTCTCTCTCTCCCCCGCCCTTTCTGCTACGTGCTAGGTGAACGTGGTGCTTCGTGCTGCTACGTGCTGTGAGAACTCTCTGGAACCGGGAATCTGTGCCCCTCTCCCTTCCTCTTCTCTCTCCTCTTTCCCTCTCTCTTCTTACGTCCTGCCTGAACGTGGTGCGTCGCGCTTGTGGACTTCGACGGGGATTGGTGCTACTGAGCTTGAGGCTTTGTCTATTATCATGAACATGGACGGCTGGGCCGTTGTTGTTCGTCGACATGGCTAACTCAAGTGAGTCTTTCTATCTCTCTTCCTCACTTCCACCCCACGCCCAGCACCCAATACCTTCCCACTCTCTCTCTATCTCTCTCCCCCCGACCACCCATTCCCTGCTCAGAGACCAGTGAACTATTTCTTTTTCTCTCGTCTCTCGCTGTCGACCGTCAAGTTGCTTTCTCTGTGTGTGTGTGTGTGCGCGCGCGCGCGCGCGCGCGCGCGCGCGAGAGAGAGAGAGAGAGAGAGAGAGAGAGAGAGAGAGAGAGAGAGAGAGAGAGAGAGAGAGAGAGAGAGAAAGTCAATA